ATCAGCCACTTCACTTAATAACCAAACTTCTACAAATCAAATCCCTCCTACAAGTCAATCCTCAGTTAATCACACCTTCTCTTTTTCTCCATTCTCAATCAGTGAGGTCAATAAACTGTTAAAAGATCTTGATCCTAAAAAATCTGCAGGTCCAGATGAACTTCCACCTTATTTCTTAAGGCTGGCTGCTCATATCATCACAGTCCCTGTGACCCACATCTTTAATCTCTCAATAAGACAAAACTCCATCCCAGACACTTGGAAAACAGCCTTTGTTCTTCCTTTGCTGAAGGGAGGAGACCCCACCTCACTGAACAACTATCGACCAATCTCTAAACTCTGCATTTTAGCCAAGGTTCTAGAAAAACTGATAAACTCTCAAATCAAAAATTACCTGGACTTATTTAACATCTTACCTCCACATCAATCTGGTTTCAGGAAACAACATAGCACAACCACTGCTTCACTGAAGGTTCTTAATGATGTTGTTGAAGCACTGGATGCTAAAGATTATTGTGCTGCACTTTTCTTAGACCTGTCTAAAGCTTTTGACACTGTGGATCATAACATCTTGTGTCATAAACTCTCAGAAATTGGTTTCTCAGATCACACCATTGGTTGGTTCTCTAACTATCTTTCAGACCGTAGGCAATGTGTTCAACATAATGGTACTTCCTCCAGTTATTTAACATTCAACAATGGTGTACCACAAGGCTCAGTCTTAGGACCCACCCTCTTTACAATCTACATACATAATGTAGGCAAAAACATCCCTAATGCATCCATACATTTCTATGCTGACGACACAGTTGTTTATTGTCGAGCTAAAACAGTTGCTAAGGCTTTTCAGCTTTTGAAATCTGCATTTAACTACATCCAGACTGATTTGTTCCGCCTCAAACTTGTCCTAAATGCCGAAAAAACCAAAGGGATGCTTTTTTCAAATAGGAAGTTGGTCCCAGCAGTTCTTCCTCCGATTTTATCCTCAAATGGTGTCCCCATTGAGTTTGTTGATTCCTATAAATATTTGGGTATCTTGGTCGACTCACATCTTTCTTTTAAGCTCCATGTGGAAAACTTGGTAAAGAAACTGAAAGTTAAACTGGGTTTCTTTTTCAGAAACAAATCCTGTCTAACCCTGAATGCTAGAAAACGCCTTGTATCTGTGACTTTCCTTCCCTCAATTGATTTTGGTGATATTATTTACATGAACGCTCCTACAAGAACCCTGCAGATGTTGGATGCTGTCTATCATGGTGCACTAAGATTCATAACTGGCTGTGATTATCGTACCCACCACTGAACTCTGTATTCATTGGTTAACTGGACATCATTAACTTCACGCAGACTCTCTCACTGGTATATTTTCATCTTTAAATCACTTCTTGGTCTGTTGCCTTCATACATCTCCTCCTACATGTCTCTGCGTGAGTGCAGCTACGGAGTGCGCTCTCAGGACATTATTACCTGCAGTGTTCCCTCAGTGAGGACTGAACTAGGCAAAAGGGCCTTCTCCTACTCCGCTCCTGTTTCCTGGAATATCTTACAAAAAGATTTGAAGCTCTCGACCTTGACCTCTCTAAGTGTCTTTAAGAATCTGTTGGACTCCTGGCAGGGTCCAATGCAGACATGTTCCTGTTTTTAGTTTTCTACATTTGTCTTGGAATCTAGCTGTTTTTTGTTTTGTTACCTTTTTCCTTTTAGCCATCCTATTTGTTAAAAAAAAAAAAAAAAAAAAAACTGTAGTATGAGTTTTGATAACTGCTTATTGTTGTTGCTGTTGTCCATTGTTGTCATCTTTCTTTGTTGAAATCAGGTCTCTCTTGTAAATGAGTCCTCGAGGCTCAATGGGATTTACCTGTATAAATAAAGGTTGATAATATTCTTTACCAGCATCATATCCATGTCCATCCAGTCTTTTGATTTTTATCTGCAAGATGTTTTACGATAGTTATAATTTCTTCTTTATCAGTTCCCCCAAGAAAAAAACTGTTTGTGTAATCCGTAACCGTATGGTTTACATTTTTATCTATATTTGGGATTTTTGCTGCCAGACTTGGGCCAATATTCACAAAATGTTGATTGAATCCATTTACGATTTCATTTTGGTCATAAATTTCTTTGTCATCCTTTACAAAATATTGTGGAATGCTCGATTTTTGTTTTATGATTATTCAGAACACTGTTCATTATTTGCCATGTTGCCCTCATATTACCATTACTTTTGTCTAATAATTCACTGTAATATTTCTTTTTATGCTTTCTTATAATCCCTACCAATTTATTTTTATAATTTTTATATCTCTGTTCTGCTTCGTTTGTTCTTAATTTCAGAAAGTTTGAGTATAAGTAGTTCTTTTTTTTACAAGCATTTCTTAACCCTTTGGTCATCCACGGTTTGTCATGAACATGTTTCTTTGTGTAATTTTTTTGTACACAATTTTTTTCATACAAAGCTCTTAAAATATTCATAATTACATCATACGACAACATCAAGGATGGTCTTGCTACCATCATCAACATATACATCCTTCCAATTTTGTTTTGTTAAATCTTCTTTTAATTTATCTAGAGCTTTCTTTGATGTGTTTATTATTTTTTTCATAATTTTATCTACCATATTGATCTATCATATTGATCTTTTTTATAGATGGTGAAGACTGGTAGGTGGTCACTGACATCCGTGATCAAAATGCCACCCATAAGTTCTTTATTTGTTATATTTGTAAAAATGTTGTCAATTATTGAAGCACTATGTGTCACGATTCACGCCTGTCTGATTTAAATTCCTTTCACTCTGTTCACTGCTTGGTGTCTGTGGACTCTTCTTCTTTTCTATCTTTCTCCTGTTGTTTGTTTTTTCTTGGTTTTCAGACTTCCTTCTCTGCAGCACTCTTATCTCCTCTCTGCTGGCTGCATGTGACTTTAAGTTTGTCTTCTCTTCACCACACTCCACACTGACTACTTCTCATTAGCTGCACCTGTTGCTGCACCCTTTATAAACCTGACCGGCACACAGGGTGAGTGCCAGATAGTCGAAAACAGTTTACCTGCCAGTAGTTATCCCGCGCTTCTGTCTCCTGATTCCCTCATAGTCTCCTGTTCCTTTATAGTTTCTCTCCTGCCCAGTTTGTTTGCCTGCCTTGCTCCTGTCCCTCTTCCTGGTCTTGATATCCTCACCTCCTCGTGCTGCTTTATGGTTTTGGACTCCTGCTCGCCTGACTTCGCCTCCAGCCTGCTCCTCATTGGATCTACGTTTCCTCTCATCGGTTTTCGACTCACGCCTGCCTCACATTGTCTTCTCGCCTGCTCCTGTTTGGTACCGTCGTTTTCCTGCGCTCTGGTAACAACCCTCGCCTGTCTGACCTCGACATCTGCCTCACGGACCGGTTGCTGGTCCAACGCCGTTGCGGATCAACACCTCATCACCATCCACCCATTCTCGGTCTCTTCGCTGCAGCCGGCTGATTCCTCTCACCAGGATCACCCCTCCTGCAGTGAATCCATCCAGCTGGAACGACTTTTCTCTTCTGAGCCCCCTTCAACTAGAGAAACGGTTAGTGGTTACCTTTCTCAGACATTTGCTCTCGCTTCTGTCTCATGCCTGGCCACTAGCCGTTCTCTTCCCGCCTACAGACTCATTCCAGCCTTTGACCCAGTGATCGACACCAGAACCAGACTCTTGAGAAACCAGGGCTTCTACAATAAATTTTGTAATCTAAGTCTCTCTGTTGTGGTGATTTTGGTCCAGAGTTGAAGGGGTTCGTTACAGAACTATCTGGCCAAAAGACATGGACCACTCACCCTCTGCAGACTGGTGCTCTGGTGTCGAGGGCGCTATTGGTAAACTTGAATCGAGCATGGAGGACATTGTCCGCATGTTAAAAACCTTAACACCTCAGACCACTAACCAAGACTCTGCCACTTCTCACTCTGCTTCTGGGTCAGTTCGGGAGCATCATCTCGCCCCCCCCCCCCCCCCCCGAACTATTTTCAGGGGAACCAGATCAATGCAGACCTTTCATTACCCAATGTGAAATTCACTTTCAGATGCAACCCTCTTGTTTCACCACAGAAAGGTCTAAGGTGGCGTACACAATCTCTCTCCTCTCCGGCAAGGCCAAGAGGTGGGGAACTGCTGAGTGGCAGCGCGACTCTCCTATCTGCTACATTTTTCAGACTTTTGCCAAGGAGCTGTGTCGTGTGTTCGACCCAGTCCTTCCCAAGAGGGAGGCCGCCCGACGCCTGTTTTCCATCCGTCAAGGTAATCGCAGCGTAACTGACTACATCATTGACTTTCATTCAATTGCTTCAGGTAGCCATTGGAATGAGGAGGCGCTCACTGACGCTTTTTACCGGGGTCTCAACGACAACATCAAGGATGGTCTTGCTACCAAGCGCTACCCTTACTCTCTACAGGACTTGGAGGACTTGGCCACCAGGGTGGACCTTCGCTTGGCTGAATGATCAAGGGAGCAAGGATCATGCGCTCTTCCAGCCACCTCGATGGTTAGTGAACCTCCTCTGGAAGCCAAGACCCCTAAGTTCTTGTCTTTTCCTCTCTCCCTGCAGAGGAACCCATGCAGTTGGGCCGCATTCATCTCACTCCCGCTGAACGTGAAAGGCGGCGAAGGGGTCACCTATGCTTCTACTGTGGGGGGTCTGGACACATCATCTCTGTGTGTCCGGTAAAAGGACTCGCTCAGTAAACATGAGGAGAGGTTTACTCAGCAGGACTCTCTCACCCAAACTCTCCTCATCTGTCACCCAACCAGCCACCCTCTCCATTCCGGGTAAGTCCTCTATTCCTGTGTGGGTGTTTATTGACTCTGGGGCCGACACCAAATTCATGGATTATAGTTTCGCCATTAAAGCTGGTATCAATATTCTCGAGTCATCCAAAGAACACTCCGTGGTGGCCCTAGACGGTCACCCTCTGAACTCTTCATCGCAGATTACCGAACCTGTAACTCTTCATTTGGGGGGGGGGGGGGGGATCCATCAGTTTCCTTGTCATTAATTCCCCCCAGTCACCGGTGGTTTTAGGTGCCACCTGGCTCCAGAGACATAACCCTCATATTGACTGGAAAAAGGGAGAGATCCTGGGTTGGGCGGAGGAATGTTTATCCTCCTGCCTCATGGACGCTGTGGTAGTCAAAGACTCTGTTAAAAGTTCTGTGGAGTTTTATCCTGATCTCTCAAAGGTTCCCACTGAGTATCACAATCTGAAAGAGGTTTTAATAAGGTTCGGGCAACCTCTCTCCCTCCTCATCGACCATATGACTGTCCCATTGACCTCCTTCCTGGCTCTTCATCCCCTAGAAGTGCTCTTTATTCTCTCTCAGTTCCCGAACAACAATCCATGAGGGACTACATCCACGAGTCCCTTCAGGCAGGCATCATCAGGCCCTCCATCTCTCCGGCCGGGGCAGGGTTCTTCTTCGTCGGGAAGAAGGACGGCTCACTTCATCCATGCATTGATTACCGTGGACTAAATAAAATCACTGTAAAGAACAAATATCCATTACCCCTTATGAACTCTGCATTTGACCTCCTGCAAGGGGCTAAGATTTTCACTAAACTCGATCTCCGCAATGCTTACCATTTAGTTCGAATACGTGAGGGCGATGAGTGGAAGACCGCTTTCAATACCCCCACAGGACATTATGAATATCTTGTCATGCCTTTCGGGTTAACCAATGTACCAGCAGTTTTTCAAAGTTTGGTCAACAATGTTTTAAGAGATATGGTTAATCAATTTGTTTTTGTTTATTTAGATGACATTCTTATTTTTTCCAAAGATCTCCCCTCTCACCGTAAACAAGTTTGCGCTGTCCTTACCCGTCTTCTTCAGAACAGTCTTTTCGTCAAGGCCGAGAAATGTGATTTCTATGTCTCCACCACATCTTTTCTTGGTTTTGTCATTTCTCCTGATAAGATGGAGATGGACTGTAAAAAGATTGCGGCGGTCGTGGATTGGCCCACCCCCAAGGACCGTAAACAACCTCAGCGGTTCTTGGGGTTCGCTAATTTTTACCGTAGATTCATTAAAGGTTACAGTCTCATCTCCAAACCCCTCCACTCACTCACTTCCACTAAGTCACGCGTCGTTTGGTCCCTGGTCGCTGAAGAAGCTTTTAACAAACTCAAAACCCTTTTATCTTCCGCCCCCATTCTCCAGGCCCCTAACCCTGAGGAACCCTTCGTCGTGGAGGTGGATGCCTCCAGCACAGGGGTGGGGGCCATACTCAGTCAGCGCAGTAAGATGGGTCGTCTCCATCCCTGTGCTTTCTTTTCTAGGAGCCTGTCGGCAGCTGAATGAAACTACAATGTGGGGGATCGGGAGTTGCTGGCCGTCAAGCTCGCTTTGGAGGAGTGGTGTCACTGGCTGGAGGGCTCCAGATTTCCCTTCCAGGTGTGGACAGACCACAAAAATCTGGAGTATCTCAGGTCGGCACGCCGATTAAACCCCCGTCAGGCCAGGTAGGCACTTTTTTTCTCTCGTTTTCATTTTACTTTGTCCTATTGTCCAGGAGAGAAAAATACCAAGCCAGACGCCCTATCCTGCCTTGCTGAGGATGTCTCTTCTTCTCCCTTGGAGGAGGAGAGTTTCATTCTACCCGAAGCTACCCGCCTGGCCATGACTCGTCTCGAGGATAACTTGAGAGCCTCCTGTCGGTCTCGTCCTCCTCCTCCCAACTGTCCTGACAACCGTCTGTTTGTTCCCCCAGAAATGATTATTAAAGTCCTTGAGTTTTGCCATTCGTCCCGTTTATTTTGCCACCCGGGTCTTACTAAGACTCTCTCTGTGGTTCGGTCACAGTTCTGGTGGGATTCCTTGTTTAAAGACGTCCAGTCTTTCGTCCGCTCCTGTCCCCTGTGTTCACAGTCCAAGACGTCCAGGCATCCTCCTGCTGGACTGCTTCGCCCTCTCCCCTGTCCTAAACGTCCTTGGTCCCACATTGGGATGGATTTTATAACCGGTCTCTCGGACTCTGAAGGTCATTCGGTCATTCCTACGGTCGTGGACCGTTTCTCTAAGATGACCCACCTGGTTCCCCTTCCCAAACTGCCCTCTTCTAAAGAGCTCGCTCACATCATGGTCTGAGAAGTGTTTAGACTCCACGGGCTTCCCCTTGACATTGTCTCAGATAGGGGTCCTCAGTTCATTTCCCTCTTTTGGAGGGAGTTTTGCAGCCTATTAGGCATCTCCATCAGTCTCTCTTCAGGGTTTCATCCCGAGACTGATGGTCAGACTGAAAGAGCCAACCAGGAGGTGGAGAGTAAATTACGCCTCTTGTGTCACAAGGACCCCGACAAATGGTCCCTTGCTCTGCCCTGGGTTGAGCATGCACTCAATTCCCTCCCCTCCTCCGCCACTGGTCTCTCCCCTTTTTTATGATGTTTTTGGTTTTCAACCCCCGTTTTTTTTCCCTCCAGGAGCCCTAGGCCGTGGTTCCCTCTGCTCACCTGATGGCTCTCAAATGCCAGAGGGCCTGGAGGAGAGCCAGACAGGCCCTACTGAAAACTACGGCGATTTATATTAAGAAAGCTGATCGCCGTAGATCTTGTCAACCCACCTATAAGGTGGGCCAAAACGTCTGGCTCTCCACCAAGAACATTCCCCTCAAGGCCCAGTCTCGCAAACTCGCTCCCCGTTTTATTGGTCCTTTTCCCATCTCCAAGATTATCAATCCAGTCTCTGTACGTCTCACCCTACCCAAGTCCTTTCGTGTGCACCCCACTTTTCACGTCTCCTGCGTTAAACCCGTCATCTCGTTGAAATTTCACCCTTCAGTTCGCTCCCCCCCCACCCGCCCGCCTGATTGACGGGTCTCCTGCCTACACGGTCCATCGCCTCCTCCGTTCTAGGAGGAGGGGTCGCGGCCTCCAGTATCTGGTCGACTGGGAGGGTTATGGCCCTGAGGAACGCTCCTGGGTTCCTTCTCGCCACATCTTGGACAAATCCCTCATCACTGCCTTCCACGCCGATCATCCGGACTAACCAGGTGGGACGCCAGGAGGCGTCCCTTGAGGTGGGGATATGTCACGATTCACGCCTGTCTGATTTAAATTCTTTTCACTCTGTTCACTGCTTGGTGTCTGTGGACTCTTCTTCTTTTCTATCTTTCTCCTGTTGTTTGTTTTTTCTTGGTTTTCAGACTTCCTTCTCTGCAGCACTCTTATCTCCTCTCTGCTGGCTGCATGTGACTTTAAGTTTGTCTTCTCTTCACCACACTCCACACTGATGACTTCTCATTAGCTGCACCTGTTGCTGCACCCTTTATAAACCTGACCGGCACACAGGGTGAGTGCCAGATAGTCGAAAACTGTTTACCTGCCAGTAGTTATCCCGCGCTTCTGTCTCCTGATTCCCTCATAGTCTCCTGTTCCTTCATAGTTTCTCTCCTGCCCCGTTTACCTGCCCTGCTCCTGTCCCTCTTCCTGGTCTTGATATCCTCACCTCCTCGTGCTGCTTTATGGTTTTGGACTCCTGCTCGCCTGACTTCGCCTCCAGCCTGCTCCTCATCGGATCTACGTCTCCTCTCATCGGTTTTCGACTCACGCCTGCCTCACACTGTCTTCTCGCCTGCTCCTGTTTGGTACCGTCGTTTTCCTGCGCTCTGGTAACAACCCTCGCCTGTCTGACCTCGACATCTGCCTCACGGACCGGTTGCTGGTCCAACGCCGTTGTGGATCAACACCTCATCACCATCCACCCATTCTCGGTCTCTTCGCTGCAGCCTGGATCACCCCTCCTGCAGTGAATCCATCCAGCTGGAACGACTCTTCTCTTCTGAGCCCCCTTCAACTAGAGAAACGGTTAGTGGTTACCTTTCTCAGACATTTGCTCTCACTTCTGTCTCATGCCTGGCCACTAACCGTTCTCTTCCCGCCTACAGACTCATTCCAGCCTTTGACCCAGTGATCGACACCAGAACCAGACTCACTTTTGAGAAACGAGGGCTTCTACAATAAATTTTGTAATCTAAGTCTCTCTGTTGTGGTGATTTTGGTCCAGAGTTGAAGGGGTTCGTTACACTATGGATAGTAATTCTTGTGGGTTTTGAAATCAATGGATAAAGATTTAAACTGTACATTGAGTTTATAAATGTTCCGATATTATTTGAGTCTGTTTTATTTCCCAGGTCTATATTAAAATCTCCACACAAAAAATGATTTATAAGAACTTTTTTCCAATATTGTCATGATGTGATTGGTGAATGATTCAATATTTGAATCAGGTGATCGATATACACAACTTATCATTATATTTTTGGAAGTCTCGTGTAATATTTAAACTGTAATCATTTCCATAATGTTATCCACAGCTACTGACAATTTATTGATCATTTTACATTTAATTACCTTATTTACAAGTAGAGCTACGCCTCCACCTCGTTTATTGTTTCTGTTCACATGTTAAAGTTCATACCCTTCAATAATAACACTTTTTATATTTTCCTCATTTAGCCATGTTTCTGAGACTGCTATTATACTGAAAGTTCTATTTAACTGATTTAAATAATCTGTTATTTTAGATCAATTAATGTTTATACTTCTAGATAAATTAGTGTTTATACTTCTACTATTAATATGAATAATTGAGAAGTCATCTTTAGACATTTTAATTTCATTGAATTTTTCTTCATTGTAATACTCACACTCTTTAATTTCAGGAAAAAAGTTTTTATCAATCACATCATCTATATTGTAAATTTTAAATTCTGAGTCTTCGTATGTTATCATATTTCAATGTATGTATAAACCTCCAACATGATGCTGCCGGCCCCGTACTTCATAGTTAGGATGGTGCAAATGTCCCTCTTTTTCCCCTCCAAATATAACAATGCTTGTTATATCCTGATGCTTGCTCAATAATCCAGGTAGAAAAATCCAAAATAGTTAAATCTGGTCCTCTGGACAGTCAAAAAACAAAACAAGGCAAAACAACAAAAAATGTAGAAACGTTTCGTCTTTCATCCAAAAGATTTCCTCAGTCTGAGGTGCTGTATTCAGCTCAGTCTTATAAATAGCACCTTCTCAGAGTGGATCAACCAGTTTTGCTGCTGACAACCAAAACCAGCTGCTCACGTGATCTAGAAGGACCATCAGCCTAACAATGGATCAGCATTGTAAGAGGGGGACAGTTGAACCCGGAGGCCTCCACCCTGTTTAATGATGGACGATTTCTTTTCACAAAAATGGCCTCCTTTACTCCTCTCTCAAACCATTGTTCCTCTCTATCCAGGATGTGAACATCTTCATCCCTGAAAGAGTGACCGCTGGCCTGGAGATGAGTGTAGACTGCAGAATCCTGGCCTGATGTTGTTGCACTTCTGTGCTGTGTGGGCCAAAAGGATGGCCCAGCACAGAAGAGCAACAACATCTGCTAGTACTGTATAATCATGACCTTTCCACACATGCCGTTTTGTTTAATTCCTACCACTCTGTCTGGGTGCTTAACTTTTTTGGGCAGGGTTTGAATTTAATATTCATCAAAAATAAATAGATGTTAATGTCCTGTTTTTTTGGAAAAAACATTTAAGTGAAAAATGATCAGTTATTAAACACTCATGTTGCCTTAAGGGGGAAACATCCGTTTCTTCTCATCAAACTAATATTTGAGTTTGTCTCATTCATACGTTGTTAACAGCTAACTAAGATGAGGAAATGATAAACATGTTAACATGTTAGCCTGTTAGCATTGCTACTGCGAGCCTTTTGCCATGTTAGTGTTAGCGCATGACTTTTATATTTGAACTAAAGGCTGCACAATTTGCATTATTCACTTCATCTCCTGCTATGTCCAGTTTCTTTACTTGAATGTGATGACAAGCTGTCATGAAAATGTGAAAACATTGTGAGCGTTTAGATCAGGGGTGTCAAACTCACTGCATTAGTTACAAAATGGGACCAAAATTAAAAACTGGGTTCAAACGGCCATTTTCCGAAACTGCATTAACTCAAGTCAGAAATCCAACATCTTCTCTTGGTCACAGGTTCCTCAACAAGAGTTTGATTGGTCTCATTTGATGTTCTCTGTTGTGCTTTCCACATCATAATCAAAGATTACTACAAAAATTCAAGTGATAAAAGCATTTTACACTTAAACTAGTGTTGTGTTCAAGAAACCTAACCCGAGACCAAGTCAAGACCAAGAGCAGAGTGTACCGAGACAAGACCAAGACTTTTAGGGTCTGAGACCAAGTCGAGACCAAGACCTCAAATAAAATAAATAAAATATAAAATATATAAAAGTTACATACTGCAACTTTAAGTTTGCTTTTGAATGAATATATCAGCTTTTATAAATTTTCAAAGCTACATAACAAAGAAATCAGACATTCAGTGGCCTAACTTCATGTGATTCAACAATAAAATTACATAACTGTTAAACTGGAAGCAGTTTCATCAAATGCCAAACAAGTAGTTACAAGTATATTCTTTGAGATTTAAATAGCCAAATTTTATAACTGATGATATGGCAGACATCTTCTCCTGCACCCAGACAATCATTTCTCATTTTCTCTAAGTGACGCTTGCGAGTGAAAGGGGGTGGGCGTGAGAGCGATAACAAAAACATGTATTTAGCAATGAGTCACGTTATCGCTTGGATTTGAACCAGTATGTTTTACATCCAATAAAAACAAGGATGTTAACAAATAAACTGGACAATATTCTGGCAATTTATTGATATTTCCACAGTTGTGGTCTTGACTGGTCTTGAAATACAGGTCCTTCTAAAAAAATAGCATATTGTGATAAAGGTCATTATTTTCCATAATGTAATGATAAAAATGAAACTTTCATATATTTCAGGTTCATTGCACACCATCTGAAATATTTCAGGTCTTTGTTTTAATACTGATGATTATGGCATACAGCTCATGAAAACCCAAAATGCCTGTCCCAAAAAATTAGCATATCATGAAAAGGTTCTCTAAACAAGCTATTAACCTAACCATCTGAATCAACGACGTAGCTCTAAACACCTGCAAAAGATTCCTGAGGCTTTTAAAAACTCCCAGCCTTGTTCATTACTCAAAACTGCAATCATGGGTAAGACTGCTGACCTGACTGCTGTCCAGAAGGCCATCATTGACACCCTCAAGCAAGAGGGTAAGACACAGACAGAAATTGCTGAAGGAATAGGCTGTTCCCAGAGTGCTGTATCAAGGCACCTCAGTGGGAAGTCTGTAGGAAGGGAAAAGTGTGGCAGAAAACGCTGCACAACGAGAAGAGGTGACCGGACCCTGAGGAGGATTGTGGAGAAGGGCCGATTCCAGACCTTGGGGGACCTACGGAAGCAGTGGACTGAGTCTGGAGTAGAAACATCCAGAGCCACCGTGCACAGGCGTGTGCAGGAAATGGGCTACAGGTGCCGCATTCCCCAGGTCAAGCCACTCTTGAACAAGAGACTTCGTCAGAAGCATCTCGCCTGGGACTGCTGCTGAGTGGTCCAAAGTTGTTCTCTGATTACAGTAAATTTTGTATTTCCTTTGGAAATTAAGGTCCCAGAGTCTGGAGGAAGAGAGGAGACACATAATTCACATTGCTTGAGGTCCAGTGTCAAGTTTCCACAGTCACTGGGGTGTCATGTCATCTGCTGCTGTTGGTCCACTGTGATTTATCAAGCGCAGGGTCAATGCAGCTAGCTATCAGGAGATTTTGGAGCACTTCATGCTTCCATCTGCTGAAAAGCTTTATGGAGATGAAGATTTCATTTTTCAGCACGACCTGGCACCTGCTCACAGTGCCAAAACCACTGGTAAATGGTTTACTGACCATGGTATTACTGTGCTCAATTGGCCTGCCAACTCTCCTGACCTGAACCCCATAGAGAACCTGTGGGATATTGTGAAGAGAAAGTTGAGAGACGCAAGAGCCAACACTCTGGATGAGCTTAAGGCCGCTATCGAAGCATCCTGGGCCTCCATAACATCTCAGCAGTGCCACAGGCTGATTGCCTCCATGCCACGCCGCATTGAAGCAGTCATTCATGCAAAAGGATTCCCGACCAAGTATTGAGTGCATAACTGAACATGATTATTTCAAGGTTGGCGTTTTTTGTATTAAAAACACTTGTCTTTCATTGGTGGGATGAAATATGCTAATTTTTTGGGACAGGCATTTTGGGTTTTCATGAGCTGTATGCCATAATCATCAGCATTAAAACAATTAAAGACCTGAAATATTTCAGTTGGTGTGCAATGAATCTGAAATATATGAAAGTTTCATTTTTATCATTACATTATGGAAAATAATGACCTTTATCACAATATGCTAATTTTTTGAGAAGGACCTGTAAAATCCCGGGTCCTCAATGTCTGAGACCTAGAGAAGATCGAGACCAAATGCGGTCGAGTACGAGACAAGACTGAGACCATCAAAAAGTGGTCTTGAGACCAGTCTTAAGACCAAGACCAATACTAAAATACTACTTAACACATCATCTTGGGTGGCAGCACGGTGGCGCAACTGGTAGAGCTGCTGCCTCTCAGCGAGCAGGTCCCTGGTTCAAACCCCGGTCCAGGGGCCTTTCTGGGTGGAGTTTGCATGTTCTCTCCGTGCATGCGTGGGTTTTCTCCGGGTGCTCCCGTTTCCTCCCACAGTCCAAAAACATGCATGTTAGGCTGATTGGTAACTCTAAATTGTCCCTAGGTGTGAGTGAGAGAGTGAATGGTTGTTTGTCTCGTTTGTCTCTGTGATGGACTTGCGACCCGTCCAGGGTGTATCCCGCCCCTCGCACAGTGATTGCTGGACATGGGCACCGGCGACCCCCGTGACCCGAAATGGAATAAGCGGGTAAAGAAAATGGATGGATGGATGGATGGACATCATCTTGGGGGCCAGAAAAAATGTCAATGAGGGCCACATTTGGACCCCGGGCTTTGCGTTTGACGTATGTGGTTTAGATAATGCTATTATTAAACTAGCATTTATTTCTTGTTGAACATGTCATTTAGAAATTTGTGTTTGCACAAAAGAAAAAAAGGACAGTGCGTGCTTAATCTGTTTACTCAAATGAATGTTTTTGTTGAATAAAATAAAATACATTCTGGTTGACAGCTTGTTTCTTTCAGAAAAGAAACATGCATCCCTGTTAAATTAGCAGTTTTCATTTCAGAGTGACAGAGCTAATAATTATCTTTACTAAATTACACCATTTTGTTTTCTATTATAATGACTTTTGACATCGCATTCAGACGATGCATCACCAAGGAGGCGTGCATACAGCACAAATCAAATCCCAGACTACAACCCAGCCAAAAAAACCTACACATCCAGTGACCCCAGCTCTGTGGTGCCCAAGAATCCACTGAGAAGGTCCAAAGTCCAGGAACTGACGGGCCAGATGAGCCCCGAGCATGAAGCTCAGTGGAAAAATGACTACCAGGTGTGTCCAAACACTCTTACCTACCAGACACAGAGTTCATGCACCCTTTTTTAACAATTCTTTTTAGTTCTGGTACTTTTTAGCTAACAGCAGACCCTAAATAGTTTATGCTGTCCTATCAGTGTTGCTGGTGCATGTACACCAAAAGAACCAGTACAGTGTAAGAAATCTTATGTCATATAACGACAGAGCCATCAACCTTTCATGCAAAAATATTAATTTGAATTCAGAATGGTTTGCCATATTGAAAAGCCACCTGACCCCACGCCTGGTTTGGAGTATAATCAAAAACAGACTGTAATGTGTCCTTCTCCGTAATCAAGGCAAAATTAATGAATCACAATTAGGTTTGAATATTACTCAGTGAGTAATACGAGTATGACTAAACAGAATTAACAGGAGAAAACTGTCTCGGCTCTTGTAAATCCCGCTGAGGGTCCATTACACCCTGTTGAACTTAATGAATGGATGTAACAAATCCCTATTTAAATTAAGGTGCATGAAACATGACACCCTGAAGGCTGTTGTACTTCCTAAACAGATTACATACTATTTCTGTTACAGTTCTTGGATTATTACTTGGACATACAGTAAACATGTGTTGCTTTATTTTATGTTATTTTTTAATTGTCATCAGAGACCTTAAGAAACTGATTAATTCTTTTTTACTTTTAATTTATTTTAAACAGATATGGAGTGCTGACTCCTGCCATCACTTGAAATAAATAAACAGTAGAGAAAGCTTTGAGTGAAACACAGGAATGATCAGAATAACAATTAGCTTCCCTTGTTCCAAACCTTATGATGTCTGTGATAGCTCCTGGGTGTTTGAATTTAAACACATTTTGGCTGTTTTCAGCCGCAGGTGGCCAGCCTGTGTGCCACATCGTTCAGAGGACGACCTGCCAGCTGTCACATGCAACTCCCTCAGCAGGAGCCACCTCTGCCACAAGAAGAGGACTCTGAGCTCCATTTCCAGCTGCAGGACAGCTCTCATCACGGTGACAGCAGTGGGGCGCCGGTGGCTCGCAACCCCGCTGGGGAAGATGGATCCAGATCGTCCACAGACAGCCCCTCTGTAGGCAGCATAGGAGACACAGGTGAGAGCACATCACTAATAGGGCTGGGCTGTTGGCAAACTTACTGACCTTCAATGACTGGAGGCCATTGGCTGAATTTTTTTAAAGGATAATATTTTTTTGTTGTATTTTGACTAATGTAGTATTTTCCCTTTCAAGAGTTTTGATATGTTAATTAATGTTTAATTCAAATCAAAACTTTAACTTTGTTGTACTACACCCTGATCATGTGCAGTTTGTTCTGGGTGTTAAAATGAAACAAGAGATTAAACTTTATTACAGCAAGAATGCTGTTATTCCAGATGCCATTACAGAACACCGTCATGTCCTTTATCTTAATCTCCTTTTTCAACTAACACAGTCTCTTCTGCTTTATGTGGTCACATCAGTAGCCTCTAGCAATAACAAGTACCAGCAAAAAAAAAAAAAAAAAATAATAATAATAATAATAACATAAATGCATTCATTGTGGAAATCTACAACACATCATTTCCCCTGTTACCAAAATGAACAACCTTGTTAATTTTCAACAAAGCTAGCATAAAAATCTTTAGCGTAATGTTCACTTTGTGTATGTTAACCTCAGAAAAGAACTTTGTCATGCATTAGTCAAGCATTTTATTAGAAAAGTTAGTATTCTGTAACACAAAATTAAGTGTCTCTAATTTATCTTTAACTATTCTGTTGGCCAAAGTGCCATTAACTGCAAATATATAAGCACAGAACACTATCAGAATTACAGCTAAAATAAGCTTGAACTTACAAGATTTTTATTCATGTTTTTTTTATTCAGATTTTTTAAGGTTGTTGCATGGTTTTCCCTTTGCAGAACAATGTTTTGGGCCGAGGGGTTCCTCTACTCTATCAGCCCTTCATGTTTCACTGGAGCAAAATGAAAGTTGTGATGCATTCCTGCTGCATCAGTCCATTTGATCTCAGCTAGAACATTTGTTTGAAGTAGTTCTCACAGTAACTCAACCACTGTTGCATAGCTTGGTAGAAGTTTGCTAAACCTAGTTGTTAGCCCTGGAATGAACAGAGAGCTGCCATATCTTTTGGTGCAGGAGCTTCAATGATGGTGGTCAGGTTATCTGGACTGGGGCACAGACCCTGCTCAGAAATGACAGGTCCCAGGAATGAAATACCAAACTGACCAGATTAGCTTTTTCTGAAGTTGGTCTGTAGGCCCACATCTTTAAGGCATTGAAGAACAGCTTGTTGATGTTCATCCTTATGTTTCTTGGATATCCCATACACTGCAATATTATCCAAATAGTTCTGGACCCCTGACAAATCTTTCAGAACAGTGTTCTTTTTTGTGTGTGTGTGTGTGGGGGGGGGGGGGGGGGTGGGTACTGAAACAAGTCCCAAAGGAACTCCAGTGAACTGAAAAAAAGTCCCTCAACATCTTCAATGTTGCAGTGTTACTGAACACAAGCAGTAACACTGCAACATTGAAGACGGAGAGGCTGCTGGTGGTAAGTTGAGCCTAAATCAGTCGGCTAAAATGTATGCACCAGCCAGTTTTGTGAACAAGCCTTCCATATGAGGAAGAGGATGACGGTCCTTTATTACACTTTTATTATTATCACAGAAATCATCAGAAAGCCTCAAGTCTCTTACGTTTTCATGCCACCTCTAGAGGACTCACCCAATCAGATGAGTTCACTCATTCTTTTATCAGGTCTCTCTTGTAAATGAGTCCTCGAGGCTCAATGGGATTTACCTGTATAAATAAAGGTTGATTGATTCAATGATGGAGTAAGCATTTGAGCTCTATTGTGACCTCATTATAGAGTTCATCCTGCATGTTTTTTTTTTTTTGCATCATCCTCTTTTATTAAAATCACTTTTCTACTGATGGTCTTCATCTACAGATTAAAAACTAGATTTTAACTTGTAAATTATATTTATATAATAACAACACTTGCAGGATGTGTGTCCCCTGAGCTGTTGGATTTCAGTAACTGGGGCTCTCCCAGCGATTTGGTTTTATAGCCCTGGTCTAGAATTTCATATTTTGGACTATCCGGTAGTTGAACCAGGATATCATGATTATTCAGCAAGTTACACTGTACACAGGAAAAGGAGGTAAATGCAAATAACACCCCCAATTTGTTGATGGTATATCAAAGACATCAAAGTTCATGCTCAGTCATCCATGTACAAACTCCAATAATGGTCAGTTAGGTCATCTGGACAGTTTCTTTTTTGTGGAAAGACGTTTCCCCCTCTATCCGGTGGGCTTTATCAGTCTGAGGAGTCCCAAGTAAACTATTTTCCTCACTAAGCAGTACACTCCTTTAGTGGACCAACCAGTTTGCTGGTGATAAGATGGTTTCTGGGGGCTGTCCTGTCCCCCGTGGACTCCTCCCAGGCAGGCAGCCACAGCCAAAGTGGTTCAAAGAGTATATCAAAGAGTTTGTACCAATACCGTAGCAAGAGGAGTCACTTTGGAAACAATTACAGTTTTGTAGTTATGGTCATGTTTTTGTATTTTTTTTAATACAGTCACTTAACAGAAGCCAATTTGTTGCCTGAATAATGTAATCATTCTGTCATGGGCAATAATCAGACACTGTCTTTTTTGCTTTTAATTGAGGAAAGTTATTTTTTAACCGGTTTGATAATTTTGACTACTTAAAGAACTTGTGGTCCTTGAAAGAACAATACAACTGGATGATCAGCCAGGCCAAGTCTAATGGAAATGACATAGCAGCCTATAGTGAAGCAATAAGTCTTTTTATGAATAATATGTTTCTCCTGTAATATTTCAGAGGGATATGGACACCAGCTGTGTCAAGCAGAAACCCCCCAAGAGGTTCACATGTCAGATCTGGGATCTGCTGGCCACCACAAAGGAGACTGCAAGGCAGTGGTGTCAGGACTGCTGTGTGGAAAACCAATGAAATGGGAGGTGGCCTTTGATATCAAGCCTTTTTTAAATGGCCGGGAACGTGAGGAAAAGGTTCACGAGGATCTGTGGAATGAAACCTTCCACCACCTGGCTGGGCGCTCCATCATACGGGACTTTGAGCACATGGCAGAGAAGGAGTCTGAGATAGAGCACGGTGAGCTAATCTGGGATTCAAGTGTTTAAAAAACTGCAGGATGTTAAATTAAAGGAATTTTTACTGTTGGTATTATATAATACTCATTCACTTTCTGATTTGGAGATTTTTGAACACCAAAGCCACTTTCTGTTGATTAAACAAAGAGTTACACTTCAGACCGAATGGCAGTCCTGCTATGCTCTTCACCACCTACACAGCCTAAATGACTGGATTGTGGCCAATTTAAAACCCCTTCTTCAGAGTGAAGGCAGTCACAATGCTGCTTTACAATGCTGCTAACGTCTTACTAATACCTTTTCCTGCTATATTCAATGGCCCTGAGACATTCTCCTGCACCCTCGCTATGCTTTATATGTCAGCATCACATTTCCACAATACAAATATATGATTACACCACATCTCAGGTTCTGGGCCGCAATAGTTTGGTGGTCTGTGCCATGGTCTTGTAATTCTGAGGCTGCAGGTTTGAGCCCAGGTTGCGTTAGGAATGGCATTTTGTATAAAACATCTCCCAAATCTCTTATGCAAGTTTGCTCATTATGGTGACCCCTGCAGAGGGGAGCAGCTGAAAGGGCATCCATCATTACCATTCAGCTGCATGAGAAGATGCAAGTGAAGGGTTTTTACACCAATCTGCAGACCTGACCACGATGAAAGCGTTTCTTGCCTTGTGTCCAAAAAGCAAACAAAGCATGGCTAAATGTTGCACTACCTTTATTGGTACATGGAGCGTGCGATGAAAGCATGAACCAATTTGTTGCAGAGATAATGGCAGGGTGTGATATGTCTGTGCCACCAGCAGCAATACATGCCCTGAATCATGGACACACAACAGCCATTTTCTCACGCCTTCCAGTGCTTCACCCAGAACCTTGATATGCTGCCACCACAATGATGAATGATCTTCACCTTACAGACGTTTTGTGGATGCTCAAAACCACTGTAGACCTGTTGTCACATGCCCACCCTCTGTATCTTGAAATGTATAATTTGGTCATTTTTTGAAGTAATGTTCTGTCAAATAGTTATGAGTAGTTAGTTATCAACCATGACATCAGTCATTGAGCGTGGAGTCTGGAGAAAAACCTTTACAATCTGCACAATATTATCTGTTTAGTTAGTAGCTGTTTCCTTTTAGCATGATTCTTAGATATACTTTTCCTCTTTCTTTATTATTTCATTCTCTATGACTGCTTTCACAGCTGACAGGGACTAGCTATTATTAGCTATTCAACAGAACATCACTGAAAATTGACAAAACAATCCATTTAATGTTTCTCTGAACATCATTAAAAGTTATATTTTGCTGGGCTGCGACAGGTTGGGGAATGGCATTCATGGAGTCTTTAGAGTATTTAGCTATTTTTGTGGTGGTTTCTATTTCCACATGTGAGTGACAGAGGTCCATATGATGATTTTCCCCTCAAAATAGTCTCAGATTGTCATTGGAGGGTCCAAGTTGTCTTACAAGCTCTATAGCTGTATTTGGACACCTGCACAGTGATCCTCTGACAGACAATCCAAGTTTAATGTCCAGGCCTCAAAACCACACTGATAAAAAATACCTATTGAAAAACTGGTCTAGTCGTATAAATGTGGGGTGGCTGCTGAGGTGGGTCCAAAACAAGTCAAAGTGGGAGCTAGACAAAAAAATAATGAACACGGCCTAGAATGCAGTTTTGCAATCTGTGCACATAAAAATAGACCATATTTTTAATAACTAGCCACTCAAAATGCTGGCTCACTGGTTGCAAAAACAGAATTCTGTGAAAATGCATCAAGACATTTACTACTTTCTTGCAATTTTGAGTCACGAACTAGTCTCCCAAAAGTCTCAGCCCAGTGGGACTCTATGATTTTACTGAAGTTGTAGCAGACAAAACAAAACAACAAAGTTACATGATATTTATTTCTGAGATATGTTCATAATATTTTATGCTTTTCATATTCACAGGTTGTGGCAGGAAGTACCAGGTATATGCCATTCACACCAGCAAATCTTGCAATATACTGAGCAAATACACAACATTGATTCCTATTGACCTGGACACCAATGAGTATTTGCCGACATGTGTTGAATACATAAATGCTGGTAAGTTATAAGGCTCAAATGCCCATCAGTCAATCCTATGATCATATATAAATAGATAAGTACAGTCTGACCCTATTTTCTGTTGAAGTCCTTATTTTTCTGACATTTAAATTAAAGGAATAAATACAAATTTTAGTTTAGAATTAGTACTTATAGCTCATTAAATAACGTGAAAAGATTAGTTAATTGATTAGACAACAAGAAGAATCCTAGTAACCACTATATATATATATATATATATATATATATATATATATATATATATATGTGTGTGTGTGTATATGTATATGCATGTATATGTGTATATGTATATGTATATATATATACATATATAACATATATGTTAGGGGTTTAACGACTACATAATTTTTAAACTCGACATTACCATAATAAACCTCGAGTAGGACTCGAGTACTTGATGACATCATAGGATCTAAAGATGAAAAAATAAATAAAAAATAAAACCGCAAAAAAAAATAAAATTATTATTTACAAAAAAATAAGACCAACAAAACATTGGGAGCATATATCCTGATGCATGCTCAATAATCCAGGTAGAAAAATCTAAAAAAGTTAAATCTGGTCCTCTGGACATTCAAAAAAACCAAAACAAAGCAAAACAACAAAAAAATGTAGAAACGTTTCGTCTCTCATCCGAGAGACTTCCTCAGTCTCTTAAATAGCACCTTCTCAGAGTAGATCAACCAGTTTTGCTGCTGACAACCAAAACCAGCTGATCACATGCTCAAGAAGGACCATCAGCCTAACAATGTATCATTAGCACACTGATGGCTGTTTACTATTCACAGAGGGCTGAGTGATACTAGCAATCACAGCATTGTAAGAGGAGGACAATTGAACACGTAGGCCTCCACCCCTGTTTAACGATGGATGGTTTCTTTTCACAAAGATGGCCTCCTTTACTCCTCTCTCAAACCATCGTTCCTCTCTATCCAGGATGTGCACATCTTCATCCCTGAAAGAGTGACCGCTGGCCTGGAGATGAGTGTAGACTGCAGAATCCTGGCCTGATGATGTTGATCTTCTGTTCTGGGCCATCCTTTTGGCCAGTGGCTGTTTTGTTTCCCCCATGTAAGACTGATCACAGCCCTCCTGACACTGAACAGCATACACAACATTACTCTGTTTGTGCCAGGGGACTGGATCTTTGGGATGAACCAGTCTTTGCCGTAATGTATTTTGGGGTTTAAAAGCCACTGGGACGTTATGTTTAGAAAATAAACGTCTAAGTTTCTCTGATACTCCCTCAACATATGGAATGACCACTGGTCTGGGTCTGGGTTCCTCCTTTTCACCTGTTGGCTGACTGGAGTCCTGTTTGGGTTTCTTCTCTGCTTTTCGGAAGGCCCAGTTAGGATATCCACATTGCTCTAGAGCCTGTCTTGTGTGGGATTTCTCCTTCTGCCTGGCTCCTGAGCTAGTGGGGACGCTGTCTGCTCTGTGATACAGAGTCCTGATGACTCCTAACTTGTGCTCCAAAGGGTGATGGGAGTCAAACTGCAAATACTGGTCTGTGTG